ACCCCAGAGGCGCAAAAAGTGTTGAATAAATGTATGTGTAAGTTAAGCGCCAACTCTAAGATTTCATCCGGTCATGGAATCAACCGACTGAATTAGTTAGAAATTAATAATATTCGCCCACCAAATATAGAATCATATTTACAAAATTCTTATATGAATTCTACTCGTGAATGGCTCAAAAAACTCGTGGGAAAAGGCTGAGAATTTAAAACAATATTTATTAGGTTGGTGCAAAAATAATGACGTAATAATGTCGTTTTTTGACGTTAAAAATACGTCAAAAAACGACATTATTACGTCATTATTTTTGCACCAGCCTAATAATAATTGTTTTTTTTTTCGATTACTTCAAATAAATTGGTGTCTTCAATCCTGGTCTCTTCAATTCAATAATCAATCGCCATTCTCTATCCTCATGAACTTAATTTTTAACATCTTTTCCATTCATATTTTCCACCTCCTCATTCAGCATCGCAATTTTGCTTCAAGCTTCTATCTTGAATGGTTCTTGAGCCTTGTATTGGATGGAAATTAATTACCTTCTTGATTAGTAACTGTTCTAAACATGGTATTCTGATTATAGCTCTTACTCTCTTTCTAAAAATTACGCTTTTTTTTCTCCCACAGAGTAACATCACAATATCTATGGACGTAAAATAAAAATCGCCGTAATATTTCTTTCTTCTTACATATATATATATATATATATATATATATATATTATCATCTACAAACAGACTGTTTCATTGTATCACAACTCATCAGTATGGCTAGACATCCGATTGCCTCGAACCGGGATAGATAGAGAAATTAAAGTGCTGTCAGTCAGTGAATTTTATGGAAATACTGCTTTAGCATCAGTCGGAGATTTTACCCCAGAGCTATCAGCGCCCGGTTCAGATTAAGGCGGATTTTTACGTCCTTATTCTTCGAATAAACACGGCAATGTCTGAGAGGGTTCAATTCATAGAAGTGCTTTGCAGTATTAGCAGTAGTAGTCGTTGTTTACAAATTCGCGCTTTCTACAAGAGTGCTCGACCGGAATAAAATTTGTTTCCATTCATTAAAAAACAATACGCTAGATTTAGCTCTTTCTCCCTGTCGAATGAAGATAGCTCAGTGGTAGAAACTCTGATTGACACCAAATCGGTTGGGTTTCAATCCTGGCTTGATGCATTCGGATGTCTAGTCGCACTGAGGAGCTGTGATACAGTGAAACTGTACTGTTTGCGAATGACACACACACTAAGACGATTACTGATTGTCTGAAAATAGGAAGAAAATACTCTTATGGAGAGGAAACTATAAAGGAACGAGAATTAAGCAGACAGAAAATAACGACTGATATTGTATTTAAACTTTTGCATATTAAAGTTGACTGTGAAGCAAGAAACCAGAAGGGAGTTCCACAAGTGAGAAGTGCGATAGAAGAAACTGTTAGCATCGAACTTACGGTTACATCTAGCCATTTCAACTGTTAAATGATGAGACCTTACCGCCAATCTAGTACTGCGATTGAAATTATAAAGTCTAAGTACCATAGAGGAAAGTTCATCATAGCAATTACAATTGAAAATATTTACAGAAAAGGCAAAAGGAAGCTACGAAAAGTAAGTGTAGCCGAGATGCCAGGTCAGAATTAATGTCATTGCAGATTCTTCTTTTACAAGGCCTCTGATCGGGAGATCGGAGGTTATGAGGAGCATGAAAACACCTCTTAATTGGTGTTGTTCCAAGGTCCACCCAAATCCGGGGTGGTAGCATCTGTTAGGGCTTCAGGTATGGGTGCAAAATGAACAGTATTTTTTATAATAAAAATTGCGCGTCGGTGATTTAACAAACTTGACTGAAATTGGAACTCGGCTACCTGATTTCCAATTCCGAGACGTTATCCATGACACCATCCGCACATACAAGCTGTATAAAGTGGCTACTCATCTAAGTACTGACAAGGTTTGACGTTGCCTAACTTCGGTGATTGTACGAAAAAAAAATGAACAGTATTTTTTATAATAAAATTATCAACAATGCATTTTATATTAAAATTATCAGCAATAACATTTTACAGCAAAATGACAATCAATACAAAACTAAAAAGTATAAGTATTTTTATAATGAAATTACCAGCCAAATTTTTATAAAAAAAAATATGTCCAACAATGCATTTTATCATCTACAAGAAATATATCTAAAAAAAAAAAAAACATATCCTAAAATTACGTACAAAATATTTAGATTTCGGTATTAAATAAGCCATAGAGGTTTTGATATGCTGCTAAACAAAATCAACCAACAAAAACCAGACATTATGACAGGAATACTTTTATGATCAGAATACCGTGTTTAGAAATGATGCCATCAAGAAATTAATTAATTTCCATCCAATACAAGGCTCAAGAACCATGACGTGTCCTTGTTGTATGGCCTGAACTGGCGGATGTAGAGAATGGAGTTTAGCTGAATATTTACGATGGAAATAGAGACAGAGTGACTATAGGCTTGCAACGTTTCGACAGAGGGAAAAATGTTATAAAGTAGAAAATAAATCACCACGACAAGAACCCGTAAACGATTTTGAACTCTCTCAAGATAGGAAAGTGACGATTCAGCATCTACAGTCCAGCAATACTCAATTTCTGTACTAATCTTTCTCTTTTTGCTACCTCCAAACCGAGCTAGTAACGTATTATCAGCTACCAGCTGATCCTAAATCTTTCTCAATAATGACTAAAATTTGAACGTTTCTTCGTTTTAAATCTCATATATAGGAATCATAACTAAAGATGGTTTAAAATGGTCGATTCTTAGTACCATTCCAGAATTGAGAGGGGCTTACGGCAATAGCATTTTGCGACAGCGGTTCTCGTACAATCACCGAAGTTAAGCAACGTGGTCAGTACTTAGATGAGTACCCATTTGGGTGGAGGAATACAGCTTGTACGTGCGGATGGTGTCATGGATAACGGCTCGGAATTGGAAATCAGGTAGCCGACTTCCAATTTCAGTCGGGTTTGTTAAATCACCGATGTGCAAATATTCCAGAGAAAAAAATATGAATCCAAATCTTCTGCATTTTGTAACTTTCGCCATATTGAATCTTGTCGCAGCATTTGCTACAATCATGAACCATGATCGCCAAAGTCCGGAAGTGACACGTCATACAGAAGAAGAAAAAGAAGTGTGGAAGATGTGATTTTATATGGAGATTTTCTATGCGTAGTTTAGATGTGCTACATGGCCCAAAGAGGATCGAACTCTCTATTAAGTTGTAACTAATCTAGCGAGACAAACTTGCGAAACAGTACACCACGTCGAAGTGATGGATGCGATTTTGTATGATCATATATCGATCGTATTACATCTTAGACGTAAAATAAAAATGAAATCACCGGAATGTTGGTTTACACACACACACACACACACACACATATATATATATATATATATATATATATATATATGTATATATATATATAAATTTCCAAGAGGATAGAATCCAGGAGAACTCAATGTCCAGGACAGAGTAAGAATATAATATAAAAAAGCTGAAACACTAATATTCCATGGTTATAATATATTACATTGGAATCATAATCACGATCTAATTCATCAGACCTACAAATTCTGATTTTTAAATGAAAATTGAAATGATTAATATATATATATATATATATATATATATATATATATATATATATCATTTCATTCATTTCATATATATATATATATATATATATATATATATATATATATATATATATATATATATATGTAAGCAAATATATGGATATAGATCCGACAGTATGAAGAAAAATATACGGAAAAAAACAAACAAAATTCTAATATCCTAATAGTACTCTTATGTCCATCGTCTTTTCATGTTAAATTAAATATAGTCTAATGTAATTATGTTTTATGAATATGTTCTGAAGATGGTCTACTAGACCGAAACGTCTGACGTTGACATTATATTAACATTAAAACAGCATAATTACATATTAGGATTTTTGTTTGTTTTTTCCGTATATTTTTCTTCAAATATATATATATATATATATATATATATATATAAATCTTTTCACTCCAATCAAATCAATAAAACCACTAACACGCAAGGTGTTACTGAATGTTAGGAAATGGAGAGAGAACAATAAAAGAACGGGAATTAAAAAGACAAAAGATAACGATTGCGATTTCATATAATTTTTTGGAGAATGGAGTTGACTGAGAAGGAAGAAGCTGGAAGAGATTTCCAATAGCAAGAAGTTCGATAGAAGACACTGTTAGCATAGAACTTACGGTTGCATGTGCCTTTTCAACTGTAAAATGATGAGACCTTGCCGCCAATCTGGTACTGCGATTGAATATATAAAGTCTGTAGACCATAGAAGAAAGTTCATTAGAACAATTACCATGGAAGTATTTATAGAAACGGCACAACTTACTCTCAAATATCCTTCGGAAAGGTATGAATCCAAATCTTTTCCAACTCGTCACTTTTGCCATACAGTATCTTATCGCTGCATTCTCTACAGTCTAAATCTGAGACAAAATGCATTGCACAAGTGTAAGTGTTACGACGTGACAAGTTATCTGAAGATTTTAAAAATTATTTCAGCAAATCTTTATGAATTAGCATATAAACCACAGTCCAGATATGACAGCAATACTCCATTTCTGTTCAGCACTATGTCTGGTAAAGAGAGGCGTTCCAGGAAAAGTCAAATACTTTCTGGATTTCATTAACTAATTATTATTTTTTACGGCTTATCAACTATTTGCAGGTTATTTAAAGCCAGAATATATATTTTAGGGCATAAGATATTTTTGTGGATAATAATTATTTGTTGATAGAAGTCCGACTGATTAACCTATAGGTTGCGGGAGATAAGTCGGATCCATACTTTTCCCAAGGGTATTTGCGTGTATGATTATAACGAATTCGACTGGAACTGGAATTAAGCTTTCCGATTTTAAATTCCGAACTGTTATCAATTACACCAAGCTTACATAAGCGATCCCCCATCTAGGCACTGACCAGGCACGACATTGCTTAACTTCGATGATCGTATGAGAACCGGTGTTCCAACTTGATATGACTGTAAGATAATACACTCTGGAGAATGTCATAGTACAGGCAAAGAACCTACGCTCACAAGAGGAGAGAAACTGCTTTCAATACTGAAGTGTCATTCGGTACTGTAGGTGGCCCACTCCCAACATCACTTATCGCGCTTTGTCCGTTTGGTTCGAATAATATATAGCTCGTGCCCCCCGGGTGGATGGGGTCTCTCCTAGGTGGTAAGCCGCCTTCGGGAATGTACTAGGCTTATTGCCCGGCGCCTGGAAGGAGAAGTGTTGAAGGTTCTTGGACAATTTTTCCACGGTATTGTAGTTAAATTCACTTTAAACTGACCTTGCGTCACATTCGGTAGCGACGTGTGCGCACTGAAAAAGACCCTCTCCCAACAGCACTGAAGACGTGCACGTGGTTGTTGTAGAATCTTTCTAGAGGAATGCGTGAACGTTATCATGTTGTAAGTAAACCATCCCAAACGGTTTGTGTTAAAAGTCATTGTGCCATATTTTCTCTCGCCTGTTATGCGTACACCATGTGTTCGGCTTCTACCATTACACGGTATTAATCTTGGCAAGCGTCACATTTAAGGCAATTTCAGTGGGAAAAGAGTTGATGGTTCACAAAGGAATTGTTTCATTTCCTTTACACCTGAAGAAAGCAGTAGAACGATTTGGCCCAAAATATGTGCTAATAATAAAAACAACGCAAATAATGATTTCAATCATTATTCAAAATATTGAGACCATTCTTTGTTTATTGGAAGAGAAGAAATAAAAAATATACTTAAGTATAAGAAATTACAAACCCTCTCTTTTAATTCATTTTTTTAAAATTGCAAATTCTTTTTCACTGGACGTGCAAGGAGTGTATTGGTTAATGTTATATAGGAATAAAGTGTCGCTGCCAACAGTGGAGTTTGAACACATATCAACAGAGATCAAACACAGGCGATCCCATTTTAAATAAATAGATTACGTGATGATAAATGAAACGCATAAATAAGAATTAGTTTGGCATCCAACTAATCGCTATGCCTATTCTTTCCTCTATAATATACGGATCGTCATTTCTAGTCTATCCTCTATTACTATACGGACCGCTATTCTCTACTCTATTCACTATTTGATTTCTCTATTCAGATCACTATACGGATTACTATTCGAACGAGTATTATCGAACAAGTACTATTAGTGCGAGTGATATTCGAAGGCGTCTGACACCAGTATTGTTCAACGGCGTACTATAGTTGTATCTGCGATTACAAAGTCTCAACTACAACAAGCATTACGAATGTGGCAACAAGTATTCGTTGGCATCACAAATGTGGAAACGAGGGTTCGTTGGCATCACAAAAGTGGCAACGAGTGTTCGTTGTCACCACAAAAGTTAACAAGACAGCAATCAGTTATCGAGCTTCAAATTCTGGCTGAGTTTGTTTTATTCGGTTGTTCAGAGGGTATTGAGTAATCAACCTAACAAGCTTCTGTAAATAGATGCCAGAACAGGGACTGGGTTGAATATTAGTGGCATATTCATTGTTTAGAACAGAAGGTTGTGAAGAGTCATGATCAACCACGTTCTGAGGGGATACCAATAAAAGAAAACAATCCTTTCTTCCTTCTTGAGGTTGGAGACATCTTGATATACTGAACTATTTTTATTTAACACATTAGCCAAAATCTCCCAGTGTCAATTACTATTGACTTTCTTCCACAGCCTCATTAAACTTATTTAGCACACATAAAAATAAAAACAGAAATTGCTTTTCCCTCATGAGATTGGGGAGGGGGCGTATTGATGTAATTGATATTTATATTTAACACGATTTATATCCTTCCTATGTCAATTTCTTTTGACTTTTTTTTCTAAACCTCTTCTTTTCTTCAATTTTCTTTTTACTGTTACATTGGACGGATTTTTATGCCTTAACCAACACTGTTTATTTTCTGATATAGAAATAACTCTTCATATTTCTTTGGTTGTCTTTTTGTCATTGATTTTGATAGAAGCGCCACATTGAATAACAATTAGCGAGTGGCCGTGCAGACGTTGATTTGACTACTGTTACCAACATCGAAACAATTCTTTCCCGAAGGATCTGCAATCTGATAAAAGAAGCATGTGTGAGTTTCTGCTGTATGACACCTGCTTGCGCTCGTCTCTTTCGCACTAAAGAATTTTATCGCAACATGTGCAACTGCTTTGACTCACGCGCTGTACAAATATAAGTTTTGCGATGTTACAAGATCACCGAAAACATTGAAATTTCTATCAGAATATTCCCTAGCGATTACCATATATTTATAGTACAAAATTCGATATGTTCATTGTCACTGAAAGTGTTTCGACTTTTTAATACACTTAAGCGCAGTACTAGATTAGCAGTTCCGTCTCGTTATTTTACAACTGAAATTGCTAGATGCATCTATAAGTTTTATCCTTACAGTTCTTTCCCTAGCAATTCTTACTTCTGGAAGTCTCTTTCCGCTTCTTGCTTTCCAGCCAAATTTCACCTTCAGAAATTTAAATACAATATCAATCGTCATCTTCTGTCTCCTTGAATCCTGTACCTTTACTGTCCTCTCTCCTTAATAATGTTTTTTCTCAGATTCTTTCACTTGAAGTAGCCTCTTGCGTCTTAGTGGATTTATCGCCTTGCTTGTGGTGAAATGGTGAAAAAAAAAATAGAGCATTTTTTTTTATTATACAAATAAAGATTATTGTGACGATGTGAGAATAATGTTTATGCTCAGCTTATAAAATTCTAGATATTTATTGGGATTTACTGAGCGTAGCATAGATGTCGCACAATGTCGTAGGTATGGGTTACCCAGTGAGAATCGAACTAACTGTTCAGTCGTAACTGATCTAGCAAGATAAGATGACGGGCGCATGTCGAAGAGCCCAGATATTCATTGTCTGAATTAATCACATCCAAAAATTCAAATAAAGACATTTATGCTTAACATCAGAACGAGACCGTTGAGATTTCTAGAGCACATAATGAGGAAAGAAGGCTTGGAAAATTTGATACTCGTACGGCAGATTGTAACCTAGCGACACAGACGACAAAAAACGCATCATCTACCTAAATAGCTTCAGAAACTAGCGAAAAAATGTTTAAGAGAGAGAACAAAAAAAAGTAAAGGCTACAAAGGACAAGACATTGTGGAGAGCCATAATAGCAAATGTCCAGAAGAATCGGCCGTAAATAAAGATAATGATGTCATTTTATACAATGATTTTCTAAGCGTAGCTTAAATGTGGCACAAGCCCCAAAGTATGGGGCGCCCCAGTGCAAATCAGACTCACTATTCAATTGTAATTGATCTAACGAGACAAGCTTGTTAACCATTACACCATGTTCCGCAATGTGATTTTAAAGGATCGTATCGCCTCTCTAGTATTTGTACTGTTTTTTTTTTTCTTTTTTTTATTAATATTTCTATATTTGTTAGAATAATTATACTGTGGGACACGTTGTTTATTCCTGATACTGTAGGGCGAATTGTGGTGCCTGGTTTGTGTGTCTATTCTACCATGGAGGTATGTTAAAGAACTTGAGAAATTATCGAAAAGCAAAAATATCAAAATCACAACACCTGACAAGCAGTGAGGTGACGTTATATTGGACATCAACACTTATAATGAAAAAAAAAAAACCGAACTTCTTCTTGGGGATCTAGATACTTATGTGAAAATTCAAGAATATATTTTATCAGTAAGACATTAAAATTCAATACGGTGGGGTAATGGATAGCGGCTCTGGTGGAGGAATCGGAGAGCCGAGTTCGAATTCCAGTTGAATCAATTACATTCACTTATAGGCTAATACCTTTCGGAAATGTATGAATCCTCTTCTTCTCCATCTAGGAGGACAGACCGAGTTCTATAGCCTTGGATGGCAACCGGTCTACCGCAGAAAGAAATGGCAACCTACTGCGGAAAAAAAATCTGGTCATCAGTCATGTATCGAAAGATAACTGATCGCCTAAGCCTGTATCACGCAATCGCACATAACTGACTGAAATCCATCAGAAAGTTTATTACGGACGAAGAGAAATTATAGGTGAGACTAATATAAAAAACCCCCCAAAAAACACCCCAAAAAACACCGAAGCATACACAGAATTTATGGCCACCCAAGACACGCAATAGTTATACTGCTGAAGATACGAAATTCTTAGAATTATGTCTATAAAGAGTAATTCTGTTTCAGACATAAAGCTGCTAAATTTTCATTTTCCCTTAAACAGTGGTCAAACGAAGATAGCAGGGGTTTCACAGTTCTACTTTTTCATAGAAATAAGTACTGTCATTTTCACTGCAAGGCAAGCTCATTTATTTTCATTATTTTGGCCCGGACCGACTTTGGCAACAGACCATATTTTGGGAATATTCTGTAAAGGTTAAACGTCGTCAGAAATGTGTAGCAAGACAGTCACATTTCTTTTTGTATAAAAGCTGGCGCGCTTATTTTTCCCCTTCTAAATCTCATTAAGATCTTTATATTTTGGGAGACTCGTTTAGAATCGAACTACAGATTAATTCCGGCTAACAGTATAAACCTTTTCTCATAGACCAGACGCCTCTTTTTATTTTAAGCTCACTTCATACCTCAAGTAGAACTCGCATATACGATCCATCATTAAAGACACTGACAAATTGGTAGGGCTTCTTGTACCGTTCAAAAAAGTTACCTGTCGCCTGCCATTCTTGGTCCCCGCGAAAGCCACACCCGACCAAAAATGGAGTATTGCTGTCACATCTCGGTGAAGAGCTTCCCAATTCTCTTTTTTTTTTTTTAGTTTCGGCCGAGTTCAAAAGCGTTTGCGCGGCCTTGTAGGTGACTAATTACTTTGCAGCAGTCAATCCCTTTTACAGATGAACCTTGCTAGCCGTTCGCGACTCTATCCCTATTTTCATGGCAGATGTTCAGACGAACTACATTCCTTGCTTTCAACAGTCCAGTCCTTCACGTCTATCATCCCCCAGCTGCGTCGACTCGTCCTCATTACTCAATT